GACTGAAACGAAGGAACAACCACAAAAGTTTACACAAGGTTTTATGCACGCTAGCTCATAATAGCCCTGTGACGTTGGTCATGCTATGTTACTACCATTTTTTTTTCCAGCCAAGAAACACTGGAGTTTAGAAAGTTTATGACTTGCCTAAAGTTAATAGCTAACAAGCAGAAGAACTAAGATTTAAAGCCAGGCCTTCTGAATTCCAACCCACTTGCTCTTGTCATTAGACCATGCTGGTTCTATAAAAAGAACAGCCTTAGAGAATGAAACCAACGTTCTATGATACTGCTTTGTGGGATGAGGGGAGGAGATACTGGGACTAAGTATTTTTCCCTTTCTTCTGTCTAGAGATTATGGCCCAGAATCACAAATTTGATCATGAGGATTTTTTTTTTAATCTAGACTTGTGATTTCATGGCTGTGGGTAGCTCCTAGTGAGTAAACTCACCCTGCCACCGCAGACTGGCAACTTGTCCCTTGGAGCCTTTGACGGTTGCCTAGGGCACCGAGAGGCTAAGAGGCCAATCCCACAATAAGGGGAGTTTACTCCTGTCCTCATTGTTTGTGATGTGTACTGAACAACTCAAATTTAGCTCCAGAATAGTCCAGAATTGTGATTAATATCACAGGAAATGAAAAGGGAGGAACTAAGGAGACACAATAGAGCTTTGCTGAGAGTGGGTTACAGAGTATATGCTACATACATATACATATACATATACATATACATATACATATACATATACATATACATATACATATACATACGGAGTATGTGCTACAGCTTTCTTTAGCTGGAGTCTCTGTGTATGGGAATTCCACCAGTGGCTCAGTAGAAATATTCAAGTATACCCAGGGAAAGGTAAACAAAAAAAACTAGGAGTTAAATGTTCTTTTTATTTCCATTGTCAGTTCAGTGTTTGCAGGCTGCAGCTCAGAAAATCCAGAGGAAAACAATCATCTCTATGTGCAGATCATCAGTTTCTTAAAGGGCCTTTTCTGTGCTAACACACAGTTGCCACAGGTAGGACAGAGAGCAGAGCAGATAGATCTCTGCCCCCTTGCTTCTCTCCTTGATGGGGGAAAGGGATTTTTCAATGTATTTTATTTGCTTGAATTTCTAGGTAGCTCAGATGATAGCCCATTAGCCTTTTCATCTAAGGGTCCAGGAATTAAATTCCTATTTAATGGGAGTTTTTCAGGGCAAATATCTTGTAGGAGTTGAATAAATGCTGAATGATTGAATGACTTTTTCCTGGTCACACCAAAAAGGAGCCGTTAAGCATTCATTTTCATTTCATTTGGCCTGTTTCCATTTGGAGGTGACTTAAGTCGTGTGCTCTCCTATGGAACTGAAAACTATTAAGAGAAAACAGAGAATACTTTCTAAAGCAAGAAAGTCTTTTTTTTTTCAACATCACTCACAAGGACAGAACAGTTTCATAATCTTCAGAGACCTTCTGGTGAGTAGTCTGAGATGCCAGTTGAACTTCAGTATAAAAACCAAAAACAGAGAAAAGTTATTTACTTATGGGCTGCCCAGTAAGGTCAAATCTCTACCTTCTCAGCATAACCAGGCCTATGATAATCTGACTGTGAAGAGAAAAAGCCACTGTGATTGTCCTCCCTCACCCCAGTTTCAGGTGGGATGGCGGGACATTTTGTGAAGGTTTATGTGAAATTTGCTGACATCTTAGAATGAGATCAGATTTTGAGGGTGGGGTGAGGGTGGGATTGAGGCTTGTCCTTGGAAAAAAAACCTGAACTTGAAATTTAGGGGTAGTGAACCTTTTGTCAAAAGGTCAAAACTCTAGTCTCAACCTATTAGTGTTTTCCATGGGATTTAGATAATAGGGTTTCTTGGGCTAAACCCTCAGGGACTTATTAAGAGTCATAGATTTCCCACCCTTTATTTATTTTTAAAAATGTAATTCTTCACTAAAACAGCCTAAACAATCACCAGCCATTAGTTGTTTGGGTTTTTGTTTGTTTGTTTGTTTTTTGCTTTTTGGTGAGGCAATCGGGGTTAAGTGACTTGCCCAGGGTCACACAGCTAGTTAAGTGTCAAGTATCTGAGGCCAGATTTGAACTCAGATGCTCCTGACTCCAAGGCTAGAGCTCTATGCACTGCACCACCTAGCTGCCCCTAGTCATTAGTTTTAAACATGTTTTATATAGCACGATTTTCCTTTTAATCCAGTACCACTAAGGTACAATTTGGTACCTTTCTCTTGAATCATAATTTTTTTTAATCTCCTCCCCTAGAATTCTTAGCTGGAAGCAAAAAGATTTTTTGCTGGTTTGGGACCTTCTCCTGCTTCTCCCTCAGCAGCAAATCACTTCTTGTCTCAAGCACAGCTTCTGTATGTAGGTTGTGGGAGCAAGGTGAAAAAGACAGCCTCAATATGCCTTTTTAGAATTTCAGGCTCCCAGCCCTTTCTCTACCCAAAACTGATGAGAGAACAGCTTTAAATTGCCTCCGTGTTCTCTCTTACCCATGAGAAGGAAAAGCTTTCTACTTTATCATTTTCCATTTCAGATTCCCACAGGCTTTTGCCAGATGAGCCAGTGTGACTTAATTTACACAAATACCTGCCATTTACTAAGGATCTATTGGTGTGAGCTATGGTTTCAGCTCACAAACTCCTGCTTACAATTTCCAGAGCTGTCTGTCTTCTTAGGGCCCTATAGCACTCTAGAGTGCACAGGGCACTTTGAATAAAATTTAAATCACAGGTGTTTACTCAGAGATTCAAAATTGGTACATTATAAGCTGGGTTTTTGTTTGTTCTTGATTTTTTTAACTCTTGATTTTTTCCCCCTCCTACAGGACTAGGCCTCCTGATCTCATCTTGAGCACCCTAAATCCCTCTCCTTTCAAGCTTCTGCTAATGCCTCCAGAGGCTGAAACCTGGTTCTTTTCCTTCTTACATGAATGGATACAAATAGTTCCTTTTCCAACTGAATCTCCTTTACTGGGGACTTGGAAATAGTTTTTCAGCCTTGCTGGCAGCTGCACTAGGGGAAGGACCGGTAATACTTTTTATTTTTTACCTGGGCATTCACTTAAGATGCCCCCACCATCAGTAGGACATGTGTTCAATGTTTCTTTAGCAGCGAAGAGGAATTTCCCTTGAATAATCCATGTCTTGTGATCCCTATCACCCATGAGAGCATGGGCACACCTTGGAAAGATGGTTGACTAGGGTTAGTGGTACGCTCCAGTCACAGAACAGAGGAGAGGAGAGCTAATTGACCTACAGACACAATCAAACTCAAACTCTTTGCAATGGACCATTTTCAGCCTGAGGTTTTATCATGGGGGATAAAGCTTAAGAACTTTTCCTATTCTGGTGTCCCATTAGAGAGAGTCCCAAAATACTTTTTAGGGTTACCATAGAAGAAACGGTTCCGTCAAGAAGGTTGAGTGAAATTAGGATGCTGCCTTCCTTCTTGAAACTCTTATTTTCTTCCATAAATTGGTAACTAAAGATCAAAGAGAAAGGAGTTTGGAAATAGAAAGTCAGGTAGCTTTGTGAAAGGAGGGTGCAATAGTGGGTTGGTCTAGGGATAATGGGTGGGACATTCAAAATAGATTATAACCTGGGCTGGACAGTTCAGGTAGAAAATTTCTCACTTTCCCCTTAATTTCTTCCACCCTGGTGTTTTGCAGGAAGCAACCATCCCATTTGATGATGAGACAGTGATGCTGAGGTGTACTGAGACCTTTGATGATGAAGATTTATAAGAAAGGAAGCCTGGGGGGTTTCCATAACTGAATGCATTGCTGAAAGCTGAGATCACACCCATATATCCATTTGAGGGCTTTTGAGGTGGGCTTTCCTGGGAGCATTTGGAATGGTCTTAGGTTCTGACTATTTATAAAATATTTAAATATAAGCCTTGCGGTTTGGTTTGTGAGTGAATTGTGTCTTCTTTTAGGTGGAGACGGGAAAAGTTCTTATACAAAGTAAAGAGATTCATATGGGCGCTTACACACACACACACACTCACACACACACACACACACACACCATGCCTGACCTTACACATCTGGTAGACTTTCTGATCTAGGAAGAATAGGGGCAGGAGTGTTGTAGGCAACTGACACTTCCAACGGAGAGGAAATGTGAGAATCCCTGAAGCTTGGTACAGGTTGCCATCCTTCTTAGGAGATGGAATTTGCTACCTCTCTATCCCTTCTTCAGTGTTCCAGTCACTTGCCCAGACTGTCCAATAACTATACTGTAATATATACCCACTCATATATACATACATATATGCATATATGCATGTGTGTGTGTATCCTTCTCAAATTTTTCACAGTACTTTACCCAGACCTTTCCTTCCACATTTATTTCACTCTTTGTCACAGTGATTTATGTTACTTTCCACCTTCCATTAGACTGCAGGTTCCTTGGAAAGTATGTCCTTTATCATTTCTATCTTTGCATCCCCAACACTGAGCACCATTTCTTGGATATAGTAGAATTAATAAATATCCATTGAATTCAACTGAATAAAGGCATAGCTATGAAGGACCTTGGGTACCAGAATCTCAGATGGAATATAGGCACTGGTGAGAATATTACCAATAGCTGACCTGCACCCCACACATGAATCATAGGCTACCTTTCTAGTTCTCTTTATCTTCCAGGGAGGGAGAAGTTGTTATTGCAAAGAGGGGCAGTGCTAGAAGGTAGGAAATTAGGGACTGATATCTACACCTGATTTAGACTGGGCTTATGCTTCAGGTTTGGAACTGGAATGAAACTAGACACTTGTGGATCATTTCACAGTTAACAAAAGGAGGTGTGCTTCGCCATAGCACGGAAAGGATACTTAGCAAGGACACAGTGTTGATTCAGTCATGTTGATTCATGTTGGCCATGTTGGCATGCCTATCACGCCTCTGGTAGGCTGGCTTTTGTTCTAAGTCACCAGGAAGCTACATCAGTGGCCTGCATCTTTGTCCTTTAAATCAATCAAGTCACAAGGATGGTTTTCATACCTTTTATTAAAAACAAAAACAACAACAACCTGTTTGACGGTTATTGCTTCTACCACACTAGTCAAGATAGTGGAAAAGTCCAGAGCTCTACTCAAATCAGGTTTCATCCCCTCAGCATGACCCCTTGGGAGAAGACCACTCGACTTTAATTAACAAAACCAGACAATTTCAACTTACAGTTTTAATCCCACCACACCCCCTCCTCCCCACTCCAAAACTTGTCAATAATAAAGTTAGTGTTTTATATATTTCAGGATACACAGTTCAAATTTATACTATAGGTGGGAAATAGGGCATGGAGAAAGGGTGATTGGTGCATGGGTGAATTAGTAACTAGTTGGAAGATGGCTGATGATTACAATTTAACATCTATTTAACCCCATCAGAGAGGAAAGTGCTATAAAGTGTCCACCCAAAGAACGGAGGCCTATCAAATCTTGTATCTTCTGGGATGTCCCCGACTGGGGGAAGAAGTATCTCTTCACATTATCGTTTCAATATCCTGCTTCTCTCTTGATCCCGTTGAAATCTGATCATCGACCTTGGTGACGCGATGCTCCCTTTTCATTGCTTCCCCTCCATGTTCTGGCTTGGGCCAAAAAGGGATGTACCTGAGCCAAGAAGCAGCACAGAATTTGGTGCCAATCCCAAAAGGGAAGTTGTAGACCTTGGAGGCATTCAGGGTGTCCTCTGAGTCCTCATGTATTCGGTTCCATGCTATGAGTCCTCTTTCTTCCTGACTTCCTAAGAAGAGGAAATAAGTCAAGAGTGGGCCAAGCCCTGTGGAGCTGCAGCATTTTGGGGTAATAGTAGGGAATTCCATTCTTTGGGACTGATCCAGTTGAGGGAGCCTTGTAATGAAGGCATACTAAATGACCTGAGTTTCCTAATCTGTAAAATGAGGGGGTTGAACTATTAAACACCCTTCCAGCTCTAGAACTATGATCTTATGATGTTCAGTCAAGACTAAGAGCTGCTGTCCCTTTATAGCAGTTTGGAATCACATATGTTTAGAACTGGAAGATAATTTAGCCTGACTCCTTCACTTCACACAAATGTAAAAACCAAGACTCAAAGAAAGGAAATGACTTTTCCAAGGTTGCCCTCCTAGTTAATGATAGAGATGGGACCAGAACCCATTCTCTGCTACTTCTATAGCAAGCCGGATATTTCACCATTCTGTGCTTCTCTATGCACTCTTCCTCTTCCTACTTGTAGCTTCTTTGTTGCTCTATGCCATGTAACTTAGCCTTCTTCCCACCATAAAATTCTCCAGAAAGCCAACAGCAATTGACTTGATTGGATCATGTATTCCTATCTTGGTACCCCTTCAGCATTACATCCTTGGTTTGTCCTGAGAAGGTAAGTGGGTGTTCATTTCATTCAACTACAGATGAGCCATCTCAACTAGGTAGTACATTTTTTTTATAGAGTTGGTATCATGTGACTTTTCATTTCTACCTCTTCTCCCCTCAACACCTAGCACAAACTTCAGTCGATGTTTGCTGACTGCCTCATGGGCAGCAGAGACCAGAAGAGGGGTTCTGTGGGTACCTACCTATTGTCTGACAAGTTTTCCAGACCTGCTATTAGATAGAAGCAGTGATGAGCCAGCCTTACCTGGGATAGTGTTGTCAAGTACAAAGCCCAGGAATCCACCCACAAACATGCCAGTGGTGAGCAGAACCTGGATGACCTGATCCAATTGGAGAATTCCTACAGTGGACACAAGAGGAGAAGAATGAGATAGAGGGACTATATAACTTCCACAGGGCACAGCCCAACAACCCAGCCCCCTCTGAGCCCCGACCCTCACCATACTAGCCTAGGTTACAATATTAGGGAGAGAGAGATAAACCTGGTCATCTATGGACTCAGCAGGTCCTCACCTGTCTGGATTAGTTCTGGATTCTTGTTCACCCAGTTAGGAATGGTCAGCCCACAGTAGATGGAGAAGCCAAAGACAAAGACGTTCCTGGAAGAGTTCATGTCCACATACTGCAGGGAGAAGGTCCTGTAAGTGACTCTTACCACCAAGGGGGAGCGTCCAGATCAAAAATGGGAGCAATTTCTTGGGACATGGGAGGGGAGAAGGGAGAACCTGGGAAAACTAGGTACCCTCCTCTCTGCAAATTAGAAGCCAAGTGGAATAACTGAACACAGAATGGGGATGGCAAAGGGGGTGTGGAGAGCACCATTTACCATGCCAAGTTCCTGCTTGGGTAGGATGATTCTGGAAGCATGATCATTTAGTTAATCAGCATGGGGATATTAGGAGTTGACTATCTGGACAGAGTCAAAAGTCAGTAGTTCTATTATCCATCGATTTTGTTTTGTTTAATCTAAGCCATTTTATTTTCACAGGGAAATTCCAAATTTGGCTATTGTCACTAGAGAGGTGGAACACTGGTTTACAGAGTCAGGGGAATTTCCTCCTAACCCTGGTCCTACCATTTCATAATCCAAATTCCAATGAATTTATTTCAAGAGGCAGAATGTTTCTTTAACTCTTTAAAGGCAGACTATCTATGGTCAAGACTCAGTGCCTTGCACATAGTAGGTGCTAATAAATGTTGAATTGAACTGAACAGATGCCTTTCTTTACCTGTAGATTGGAAATTCCCACAGCTGCGATGACTCCAAACATCACTATGAACATGCCCCCAATCACAGGGCTTGGAATGGTGGCAAATGCAGCCCCAATCTTCCCAAATATGCCCATCAGGAGCAGCACACAACCAGCAACAATGATCACCATCCTGCTCCCCACCTGCAGTCAAAGGGAAACGTGAGAAATAGAAGAACTTAGCATCAGCTAACCTGTGAGGACACAGAGCACCCATATGACTTCCGATGGGGTGGGGTGGGGTGGTTCTTTCTGCTAGAACAACCATACTAAAGCAATAAAGAGATGAGGCAAACATAGGCTTAAATCACCGCCCCATTCTGCCTCCAAGGGAGAGAACTGAAAAGGATATAGGAGGGAACTCTGAGCTCCAATTCCCTGTCCATTTGTATCTTTTCTCTGTGTTATCTTAGAACATAAGCTCTATGAATAAAGATTGTTTATGCCTTTGAGATTATATTCCCAGTGTCCAGTACAAAGCCTGGCATATAGTATGTACCTAATAAATATTTGTTCATTGGCACCAAATCAAGAAGTCTGCCTGGGTTAATTTGACCTCCCTAGAATTAGTCCTGTGAAGAACTGTTTATACCCTTTGACTCAGCAATACCATTCCTGGGTCTATACTCCCAAGAGATCAAAAAGAGAGAAAAGGGAATCATATGTATAAAAATATAGCAGCTTTTTTTGTGGTGGTGGCAAAGAATTGAAAACTGAGGGGATGCTCATCAATTGGAAAATGGCTGAACAAGTTATAGTATATGAATATGACGTAATACTTTTGTTCTGTAAGTGATGATAACAGAGATGGTTTCAGAGAAACCTGGGAAGGCTTGTATGAACTGATGTAGAATGAAGTGAGCAGAACCAGGAGAACAATTTATACAATGACATGTCAAAGAAACAACTTTGACAGAATTAGAAACTCTGACCTATGCATCACTGACTAGGATTCCAGAAGATTCATGATGAAACATGCTACCCACCTCCTGATAGACAGGTGAGGGACTCAGAGTATGTGTATGTGTGTACATATGTGTATATGTGTATAAAATGTGTGTATACATACATATACACATGCGTATACACACATATGTCCAATGCAGGAATTTGTTTTGCTTGATTATACATGTTTGCAACAGGGGAAAATATCAGTCACATTACTCTGTAGTCACACTTCATATATCTGTCATGTGTGCAGGAAGTTCAAGTGCTTTTATGCATGTATGTATAGATGAAGGTAAAGTATAGACATAAGTCCCTGCAAAAGAAGGGAGGAGGACAACCAGCAACTTCAAGCATTATATTTCTGCTTTTCCTTCTATTCTTAGGCAGGCTGTTTATTAAATGAAGGACTTTTGCCTTGATTAAAGCTATTAGTATATCAAAATATATTTGCATATACTATGACATAAATATGCTTAGGGTTATAATCAAAGAAAAATCTCTTGTTAACACCTAATTAGCCCTGGAAACAGAAGGCTAAGTAAAAACATAACACTGATTTTCTGATTTTTTTCCTCCTTACTTCAGACCATTACTATAGTTATACTCTATACCACCAGGCTGGGACTGATAGAGACTTTTCATCAACATACCCTGCAGCAGGTAACTTCCATGTGGATGACTCTTTTCAGTACATGCTATATAAAATAGTAGAGCTGTTGTCAATACTTATAATCATACTAGTATCCTGTCAATGATAGGCTAAATCTGTTGATTTTGGATCTCCATAGCCAATGAAGGGTATCATTCCCCTCCAGGCTGTACGTAGGATTTCTTCTATGATGCTCCAGCCCTTTATTTTGAAGCTCCCTCCATCCCTGAAATGGGCACATTGGCAGTACCCTCCCCCTCTGTGGCCTCTCCCTCTGGTTTGGATGGCTCGGAGCCCAGGCCAGCAGTATCTCATTGCTTTCCAGTCCACACTCAGGATTTTCTGTACCATCTCTCCTCTGGTGCCTTTGACTCCCTATCCCTTTACAATATCCTTTTATGTGCTGTCTTGACCATTAGAATGTAAGCTCCTTTCTCTCTACTTATATTTATGTTCCCGAAGTTTAACACAGTGTTGGGCACATAGTAAGTGTTTAGTAAATGCTAGTTGACTGATCCTGATAGAGTTATCTGTTCTTTATTCATTTGGCATTTAAGAATTGCATATATTCACTCTGGGTAACACTAAGACCACCTGGTCATCTTCTCTGTCTTTCTCCTTTAAATGGGCTACAATGGGTCACCAGTATGGTAACCAAAATCAGAACTTTTTTTAAAAGACTATAATGTGACAGGAGGTAACATGCTATAATGGAAAGAGCATTGAATTTGAAGTAAAAAACCCAAAGTTTGAATCCTGGTTCTGCCACTTAGTGGGGGCAGCTACCTAGGTGGTACAGTGGACAGACCAGCACCAAGGCCTGGAGTCAGGAAGACCTGAGTTCAAATCCAACCTCAGACACTTAGTAGCTGTGTGACCCTGGGCAAGTCACTTATTTGCCTCAGTTTCCTCATCTGTCAAATGAGCTGGAAAAGGAAATGGCAAACCACTTCAGTTTCTTTGTCAAGAAAACCCCAAAGGAGTCACAAAGAGTAAAACACAACTGAAAAATGACTGAACAACAATCACAAAAAATCTTCTACTCAATATTTTGCAACATTGGGCAAATCACCTAACCTAAGACACTGTTAGGTGAAGCAATGGATAGTGTGCTGGACCTAGAGTCAAGAAGAGCTGAGCTCAACTCTGGCCTAAGATACTTTCTAGCTGTGTGACCCTGGTTAAGTCACTTAACCTATGTCTACCTCAGTTTCCTCAACTGTAAAGTAGGGATAATAATAGTATTTTTCTCCCAGGGTTGTTGTAAAGATCAACTAAAATAATATTTGTAAAGTGCATAGCACAATGCCTGGCACAGAGGAAGTACTTAATACATTCTTGCCCCCTTCCCTACTGTCTGGATCTCAGTGTGCTTACCTTTTTTTTTTTCCGGTTGGGCAATGGGGGTTAAGTGACTTGCCCAGGGTCACACAGCTAGTTAAGTGCTATGTGTCTGAGGCCGAATTTGAACTCAGGTCCTCCTGAATCCAGGGCCAGGTGCTCTATCCACTGCGCCACCTAGCTGCTGCCTCAGTGTGCTTATCTTTAAAATAAGGTTAGATTATATGGCCTCTAAGGTTAACTTGAATGTCTAAAATCTATAATCCCATGATTCATCAGTAAGAATCAACTGGTTTCTTAGCTATCTATTAACATATCCACGTTTAATTGTAGCCTGCGGTGGGGAGGGGGAGAGAGAAGAAGAAGGAGGAGGGAGGAAAGGAGAGAAAATAACAAAGTAAAAAATGTTCAGCAGAGAACAAAAGAAAACTTACAAGGAAGCAAAGAAAAGATGGACAGCTCTCAACACAACGAGTAGTATTTGATATACAGGCTTCTTGAAATGGAAACTTATTGCTATGTATTTTGAATCCTCTCTTACATTCTGCTGTGCACATGACATTTTTTTCTTTTCTTATTTTATATTTGTTTTAATATTTAAATTTATAATATATTTCTTTTTCTTTTCTTATATATTTAAGTCTAAAATTTTCAAAAAAGATTTTTAAAAAAGTAAAAAAAAAAACAATCAACTGATTTCTGTGTCACGACTTTGGTGTGGTTGGTTAAAAACTAGCTTATTGGGGCAGCTAGGTGGTGCAGTGGATAGAGCACTGGCCCTGGATTCAGGAGGACCTGAGTTCAAATCTGGCCTCAGACATATAACACTTACTAGCTGTGTCACCCTGAGAAAGTCACTTAACCCCACTGCCCAGCAAAACAAAACAAAACAAAACAAAACAAAACAGGCTTATTTGGCAACCCTAATAAACTTACCCTGGTGATGCTCAGGGCACCAACATTCTCACTGTAGGACGTGGTTCCATTTCCAGTCCCCCACGCTCCTGCTAGGAGGCAGCCAATTCCTTCAATACCAATACCCCGATTGACAGCGTGGTTTGGAGGGGGTGGGGCCCCTACAAGCCGGGCACAGGCATGATAATCCCCCACTGATTCCACCATGGAGGAGATCACCCCAGCAATGATGCCAAACACCCCAGCCAAGCTGATGGTTGGAACTCCCCATTGCCCTAGAAATGAAATACGGATAAGCAATTAATTTAGGAGACATTAATCCAACATCCAACTCATCTCTGTGCCACCTTCCCTCCACCCCCAGGCTCTGGAAGGTCTGATTGTCTGGGGGAGCCATGTGTTGGTGAATCTAGATTAAACTAGCACAAAGTGGATATAACATTGGACTTGGAGTAAGACATGTAGGTTCAGGCCAGATAGATATTCTAGCTACACAGTAGCATAATAATACCTGGGGCACAAGAATAAAATTAGATCATGGGCATTTCTTGGAAAATTAAATTCTTTCACAAATACTCTATTGGCTGAGCTTATACGACCTCCATCAACTCAACAGGACCTTTGGAATATGAATTCGTGTCATAATCCTCCTGGTTACTGGAGGGGAAAGCAGCTGGCCTGTCATCAGAGGTCAGTGGTGACAGAAAGTACCAGAAGTCAGGCCCTTCTCAAGGTAGCCTTGGGATATCTAGGAGTTGAGGGATAGGATCTGAGAAGTTCTAACCTGGGACCATCCTTCCTGTCATACACTATAAAGCCCAGCCCAGATCTCTTAGCAGTTTGGAACTTTCCTTCCCAAACTCAGCAAGGACCCATGGCTATGGCAGGATTAACACAATTGGCCTTATTTCTTCAGAAATGGTTGGATTCAAAGATTTGAAGTCCTAGTCCTAGACCAACCTCACTTGAAATAAAAAGAATACTTAGAGGAAGCAGTGCTACTCCATTTTTACCTCCGGGGGGGGCGGGGGATAGAGAGAGAACCGAGATATATAGATGATTATCTTTCCTTCTTCCCTTCCCATTTAGTCCCTTACACCCCCAAGGTTTGTCTGGTTCTGGGTAAGTAAGGGAAGTATAGACTCAGCAGTGGGGTATGCCAGCAGCAGGGGAAAGGGTACATAATCTGAAATCTTGTGCGTCTCAGTCTGAGGAATTGTTACCTTGGAGACAGCAGTTCTCTCAAAGGACTTGGTTTCCAAAGAAATCCAGTGTCAAATGCACTCTAAAGGGTACCTGGATTCTAGTTTGGTCTGGAGTCTTTTAGGACACACTGGGCCTTATCAGAGCTCTCAGGAAGAGCCCTTATTCTACCCCACCCCCTCCAGCCTGCCTCTAGTATATGCCTATCCTCATGTCCCACCCTGTCCCCTTATTGTCCCATTTGGTCTCATACTTCTAAGGCCAGACTGATACCAAAATGGCATTTGGGGACACAGTGACATCCAGCCAGACGCTGCCTGGGAGTCACTGGCTCTTGGGAAAGCTTGGAAAGGCAAGCAAAGTTCGTTCTATTCTCCAACGACTTTGTTCTTCAATGTTGTTTCTCTTCACACCTGAGGATTTCCACTGGGCAGGAACAGAAGCCACTGACCATACCTGGGTAAGGGATGCGGAACCAAGGGGCCTGGAACAGAACGTTGCCTTTGGTGTCTGTACGGGCCAAATAACCGTATGCTGAAGAGGTCGAGGGGAAGACGTTGGTGACGGTAAGCACATAGCAGATGATCCAAGAAATGGAGAGAGCCAGGAGTACCTACCCAGAGAAAGCCAGCTCAATCATTCTGAACACACCCCCTCATCCTAGCCTGAGCTTCCTGCCTTCCAGAAAGGGTGGGGAAAGGGAGAAGGAGGGAGCTAAGGAACTGCGCTGGACCCGGAAGCTATTCTGCACTAGTGGGAATCTATCATTGCACAAATAAGAATAGGAAAGATAAAGAATAGAAATTGAATACGGATTGGCTAGAGACAAAATCTGTAGAAGGGAGAGGCAGTGGTAGAAAGGAGAAAAGGCAGCAGACTAGGAGTGAGAAGTCTTGGTTGGGTTCTAGCCTTGAGCTCTGCCCCCTTCTTATCTATGTGACTTTGAACACCTCACCTAATTTTGGAGCCTCAGTTTCCTCTGGCAACCTGATGAAACCTATGGACCTCATCACAGAATGATGTCTTTAGGTGCATAAAATAAAATGCATAAAATTACAAAGGAAGCCAATTTTGATATATATCAAAATATTTTTAAAAAACAAATTTATGTACCCCAGGTCAAAAACCCATGGCCTAGATAGATTGTCTCTGGAATCCCCTCCAACTTTCAAATTCCATGACTCTGTGATTAAGAGGAGCCAGAGGAAAAAGCTGGGAATGAATTCCCATGAGCCTTTTTTTTTTTTTAAAGAGGGAGAAAAGAGTTGCTAAAACCATCAGCAGCTTAAGAATAAATTAAGCAGAACTAAGAAAATAATAAACATCTATAGCTGTGTAAATAAAAAGAACAATAAAAGAACATTGAAAACTATGTAATTATAATGACCAAGCTTGGGCCTAAGATGAGATAAAGAGACACATTCTTCTTCTTTCCTTGGGATGGTAAGGGATTATTGATATGGGATATTACTTCAGGTTTGCAGTGTTAGTTTAGATATCAGTAGTGGTGTTGTTCAGTTGTGTCTGACTCTTTGTGACCCCAACAAAGGTTTTCTTAGCAAAGATACTGGAATAGTTTGTCATCTCCTTCTCCAGAACATTTTACAGATGAGGAAACTGAGGCAACCAGGATTAAGTGACTTGCCTAGTGTCACGCAGCTAGTAAGTGTCTAAGGCTGGATTTGAACTTAGGTCTCCCCAACTCTATGCCCAGTGCTTTATCCTCTGCACTAGTTAGCTTCCCTTTAGATTAACTGGGTACTTTTTTCTTCCTTGTTCTAGGGGAAGGCTCACTGTGTAGGGAAGGGATAGGGCAAATTTGGAAATGACAAGGATGTCAAAACAAAAAAGCATCAACAATTTTTTTAAGACTCAAAAATATAGCTTACTGGGAAGATCTGGAACAGGTAAAGCTTAGAAACATGGCATTTCTTGACTTGCCCATAAACTGGTACTGGCACGGGGATGTTTTTCAGGTATTGAGAAAACAGCACAATTAAGAAAATGGTCCTGGAACGGAAAGAAACCAAACTTAGACTACTGCTGTTTATCACCAACAGATTTCAGATCTTCCTAAGGCTGTCCACTCTCTCAGTTACTTCCTTTTCCCTTCCATTACAACTTCCTCTTTATATACATCTAGACTATTGGTACAACCTCCTAAGTGATTTCTGTCCTTTCCAATTCATCTGTAATACTACTGCCTGAGTAATCTTCCTAATGCACTGCCCTAACCATGTCATTCCTCTACTCAAAAACCTTCAATGGCTCCCCATTATCTACCAAATAAAAAAGAAACTGCTGACCCTGGCAGCCGACTAAGCCCCTTAATAATCTGGCTCCAAGTGACCTTTCCAGTTCAATTTCATGTTGCTTTCCTTCCTATGGAGAGTTGGCCCCAGAGCCAGGAAGATCTGGGATCAAGGCCTGCCTCTGACAAGTACTGGCTTTGTGGCCCTAGGTAAGTCACTTAACCTCTCAATAGCAACTCTTTAAGACTGTAAGTTTTAGAGAAGATGCCAGCCTGGATTGGTGGAAGGAATGACCTTATGCAGCATTTCCACACACCACAGAAATCACAGGCGCAGTGTCTCTCCCTACTCCTTTCCTGACTTCAGGTCCTCTATACCCTGGTCAAATTGACTGCTCTTCATCCCCAGTTCCCTCTTATTTTTGTGCTGTTTCTCAGAGCTGGAATACATTATTTTCTCTTTCATCTCCGTATACTAAAATAACTGGATTTATGGGGTAAGCAAGAGTGAGGAGCTGAGTATGACACTGGTATTCTGAGCCTGGGTGACAGGTAAGGATGGTGGGGCCATTGACGATAATAGATAATTATGGAAAATGGGATGTGTGTGTAGGGCTGGGGGTCAGGAATACTGAATTCTGTTTTAGATATATTAAGTTTGACATGCCTATGGAATACCCCCTGCCTTTTTTTTTTGGTGAGTCAATCGGGGTTAAATGACTTGCCCAGGGTCACACAGCTAGTAAGTGTCAAGTGTCTGAGGCCAGATTTGAACTCAGATCCTCTTGATTCCAGGGCCAATGCTCTATCCACTGCACCATCTAGCTGCCCCTCAGAATACCCACTTTTAAATGTCTAATGCCAGTTGATAATTTGGGACTAGACCTCAGAAGAGAGACTAGAGCTAAATATATAGATCTGGGAATCATTTGCTTAGAGATAACAATTTAACTGATAGGAACTGATGAGATCACTAAGGGAGAGATCACAGAGAGAAAAGAAAAGAGGGACAGGACAGAGCCTTGAGGTATACCCATAGTTAGTAGACATGGCATGGATGAAGATCAGCAAAGGAGATTTAGAATGAACAATCAAGTATCATAAAAACCCAGGGGAGAGGGTATATAGGATGAAAAGATGTTCGACAGTGTCTAATGCTAGAGAGGGCAGGGAGGATGAGATTGAGAAAATGCTATTAGATTTGGCAATAGAGAGATCTCTGGTAACTGTGAAGAGCAATTTCTGTTGCATGAGGAGCGGAGAAGCCAAGTGGTTTAGAAGAGGATGAGAGGACAGGAAGAGGAGGGATGTAGTGTAGATAACTTTTTAGCTGAGAAGGGTAGAAGACATATGGAGGGGATGGTAGTATCAATTGAGAGGTTTTTTGGTTTTTTGTTTGTTTGTTTTTAAGGAGGGAGGAGACTCAAGCTTGTCTGTAGGCAGCAGGGAAGGAACAAGTAAATAGGGAGGGATGAAAGATTAGAGAGAAGATAAAGATGATGGTGGGGCAAAATGCTGTAGAAGAGGGCATGAAGGGCATATATTGAGGGGCTGGTCTCCATGAGTAGAAGGGCCATCTCTTCATCAGAAACTGGAGTGAAGAAGGAGATAGTGGGGGATGTATGTTACTAACAGTGGTTAGCTCTGCTAGTTATAACAGGGTGCTAATGAGGCCAAGATCAATGAGCCTGGTGTCTACAATGGTTATTCCTTGCCATGAGCTGTACCCTTAACTCTGACCAGATGTCCTTTAAGTGAGGACCCCTGTGACAAGAGGGATATGAGAGAGTATGTGGCCATGAGCCTATTCAATGCCTTATCCACTGATGGAAAAGTCACTCACAGGATATGTCTTCCTGGCTCCACGTAAACAGTATCAACCTGGTATCTGAAGGACAATGTTACTACTACTGTCCTTGGTGTGTATATCAGAATCGAGGCTATTTAAAGGGCTTCTGTGGGGAAGAAGGATTAGACATGATCTACTTGGCCTAGAAGGCAGAGCTAAAAGCAAAGGGGGAGAAGTTGGAAAGGTAAATTTAGGCTTGGCATAAGGAAAAGTCTTCTAACAATTAGTGTTGTACAAAAGTGGAAATGGGCTGCCTTGAGAGGGAGTGGACTTCCCTCTCTGCCCTTCTTCATTTATGATCTTCAAGCAAAGGTAGGGAGCCTTATCAGGTATGTTGCAGAGAGGGGATTCTTTTTCAGGTATGAGTTGGACTAGATTCACCGCTGGACCCCTTTCCCACTTTGAAATTCAGTGATTCCATCAATTATTAGTTTAAGTTAGAGTATTAATGAACTACAATGACTACTGACCACAAGATGATTTTCTTAAGAGATGAGATTCCAGGCTCATCCTGAAAGGAGATGGTTTCTCCAGGGAACACTTACATGGCAGAAATGCCCCAGTGGATCCCAGCATCACTCCCTGCAGAGTCAAAGAGCGGCAAAGCCACAAGGGAGATGGTTGGGGCAATGGTCAGAGGGCCAATGAAGCGCATCAGAAAGCCAATGAGGCCAGAGAATCCCACAATGATCTGGACACAGGAAGCCACCATGATGGCACCTTGTAACTGAAAGAGAAGAGCTATACTTTTGTATTTCTTGAACCAGCATCAGGACTGAATGTTTTAGAGCCCCAGTCTACCAATCCTCACTATAAACTCCACTGCTTAAGTCAGTAAATCAACAACTTCTAGACCATAGATGTCTTAGGGTTTAGGTGGTGCAAGGCTGAAATTTAAAGAACTAGTGGAAAGCACCACCAGGAAGAGACAACGTGGCTTAATTTAACTGAATATGAGCAACTCTGCTGAGTCCAGATACAAAAAAGATGGACACGAGAAGACAGAATTTCTTGATTCGGTAGAGGGTAGGTGCATGACCATGTTTCATTGGTGGTGTGGTTTGTCTGCTTGATTATAATAATGAACAAGCCCAGTTACATGACCTCTGAACAGTCAGGATTCTAACTTCTTAGAGAGACCACCATAATACCTAAGCAATGGCAAAGTTCAATTTGGTTCAATGGTGGGGCAGTCTAGTAATAGAAGAGCTGGATTTGGAAGCTGCAGCATCTGGGTTCAAATCTCACCTCTGACATTTACTATCTGACCATAGCACTTAATAGCTCTACATCTGGATTTTTTCATTTGTAAAATGCAGTTGTAGTAATGCCTTTACTACCTACCTTGTAGGACTGTTTCTTATAAGTTTTGTGTACTGCACTCTGCAAACTTTAAAATGTGAAATAAATGTCAACTATTAGGAATATCATTCAATCCAACTCAACCAAAAAATTGCTAAGTACCTATTATTTGAAAGACACTGTGCTAAGTTTTTGCCTTTCCCTGGCCCAGGGAAACAGTCAAGGGAAAGGAGCTCACACCATCATTAACTTCAGTAACTACTACTACTTGAGGGTACACAATGTGCTTTGTTGCTGTACATAGGGACTAAACCTGTAATTTCACTGGTACAGGGAACTCTTGGATGAAGAAACTCTCTCTGTCAGCACAGGAAGGTACCTTCTCTGTAATTTATAGTCTTAGAATATTGTCTAGAGCCCTCTGAGGTTAAATTACTTACCCAGGGGGTCACACAGCAAATACGTATCATAGGCAAGACTTGAACCCAGATCGTCCTGATTTCTAGTCCAATTCTCTATCTACTCTTCCACAGTGCCTGTCATTAGGCATATATACATCTCGGTTACAGACGTACAGAGCCATCAGCCTAAATGGAGCTACTCTCCAAGAATCTCTGGCAGCACTTTTAGGTTTCATGAGGTGAATGGTGAGTGTTTCTTAGTATAGTCAGCTAAAAGAGATTTGCAAAATTTTATGTAGGAGCCTAGAATTTAAAATACCCCACAACACATAGTCTCTGTCCTATAGCATATGACCCAGTGACCTATAGGAACTCAAGCATCCAGGTTGCAGATTAAGGAGGGCACTCATGAAGCAACCAGAAAAGCAAGTTTCTCCTTCCCATCCCATCAAAGTAGGAGTTTACCACTGTTACGAATAACTCTATTATGAGTTAGGATCAGTCCATGTTCCCACAAACCTAAGCCCTAGGCCCAAACCAAGTCCATCGAGTGTCCATTTCTCAATCCCAACCTGCTCTTGTGTTAGAGAATGTAGCAGAAACAAAATACTGAAGATAAAACTGTAAAAGAAAATTTCTCCATATTTACATCTCAGTCTAGCTACTAATATCAGATTAGATACACTCATGGGCTCTGGCCCAGCATTAGATCAGCCACCTGGCCTTCAGGTATGCTGGAGGCTCAATTGTCCATCGGAGAAAGTCTTCAGAAGATTAAGGGTCTATTGGATCCTTTTGAGGAAGAGGAAAAGAGCAAATGGATTTTCTCTTGCCCATACCCCATAATGTCTTTCATCTTTTATTTTTGCTCATAATTAATGTCCTAAAATGGCTTTGAATCGTTTCAGATAGTTTCTGACACTAGGGCAAGGCCCCTCTAGACCCTTACAAGTAGATATACCAATGTATACATTGCCAAAATTTTACATATAGGTCATAGCATCATATATATATATATATATATATATATATATATATGTGCATGTGTGTGTATGTATATATATGTATATATGTATATGCATGTGTATGTGTGTGTGTATGTGTGTGTGTGTATATATATATATATATGTATATATCCACTTTAACCCTAGATGTGGCCATGCAACCTCTAGCTGATATTTTCTTTATAAAATAAAAATACTGTTTCTACCTATTTCTCTGGATTGGATGGAAGAATCCCTGAGAGTAAGTACGCCAATCTTTTGAAACACTTAGATGAAAAGTATAAAAGTTTTCAAAGTATTTGAAATAGCATTTGACTTTTGATGGTCTTTCTTGCAGTCCCTTCCTCCTTCTCAATTTTAGCTTTTCAATCACTACCAGCACCAACATTCCCCAGGGCCAACTCTCAGCATTTTCTCCCCAGAATTACCTCTCGGATCCTCTTCTGCCATTCTTCAGTGAATTCTGGAGAACTGACATTCACCTGCGTGGCATTGAGAGTCCAATCAGGGCATTTCCAGGCAGGGAGAGAGAGCATGGCCAAGGAAGGGGCCACAAAGGCAAAGGTTCCACCCTGGAGAATAGGTAACCTGAAATAAGAGGATAACAATAGGGTTATTTAACCATGTCTTCTAATTTAGCTAGGAAAGAATGTCATCTGTGGCTGGCATGATCATTAGTTGGAGGATTGGTTTTAGGATTATCATTCAATCCAATTCAGCCAAAAAATTGTTAAGTAACTACTATGTGAAAGAAACCTTGCTAAATTTTTATGTTTCCCTGTAATTCTCTTTTCAAAACTCTCTGGCCTGGTCCCCTTGATCCTGGTACCAAGGCTAGTTAGTGGAAAAAATACTGGACTCACAGATTTGAGTTCAGGTAACAGAATCTCAGACTTGGAAGGAACTCAAAAAATGTCTAGTCCAACCTCTGACAGAACAGAAAGCCCCTTGACAACATCCCAACAAATACTCATCTAATTTCCATTGAAGATCTCCAGTGCTTGAAAATCTACTTCCCAATTCTGTCCTTTTGTGTTTCGGACAGTTGAATTTGTTAGAAAGTTTTTCCTTCTATTGAGTCAAAATCTGTTTTCCTGAACTTCTACCCATTGCTCCTAGAGTTCTGAGTTTGGCATTTATTAGCAGAATGACCTTGGACAAATAATTTAATTTTTTCATTTTTAATTCATTTCTATGCCTTGATTTCCTTACCTGTAAAGTGGGGATAATTATATTTACACAAACTACCTTCAGAGTTGTTGTCAGGATCAAATGAGATAATGGATAAGAATGAGCCTCGTAATTATAAGGACACAACAACCTGAACATAGAGAGTAACTGGAACACCAATGGCAAAAGAGGACAAAGGTTGCTATCGCTACCTTGTCCTACCAGAGTGGCTAAGTGCCCTCCTTAAGACTTATTAAAGTTTCTGCCAGGGACATGATGGAGTTGAAAGACATTTTCTCATCCTGATGTAAATATCAAAGTAGCATGGGGCAATTCCTAAGAAAAGATGTGGAGTGGGGAGGGGGGGGTGTCCATTGGGAAAAAAAAGATCTTGACTTGAGAGATTTTTCTTATTTCTGTGCTTATCACAGCTGGCTATGGGTCTGACTAACAAAAGAGCTGAAAAGAAGTTAGAAAATGATAATACTCCCTTTGAGGAAGAAGAAGCTTCAGCATCTAAACATAGCTCCAGCACATGGCAGTAACAGCTCAATGGAGAAATTGGAAGTGGAATCACATGGGAATACAGCTAAGGAGGTGGAATAAATCAGTAATAAGCTATGAATCGGAGAGGCACTTTGGCTGAAATACAACACTAGCAATATGAGTTGGGGGAAGGAAAGGGGGAAAGGAAGGGAACAAGCATTTATCTAGTGTCTATTATGTGTTGAGTACGATGTGCTGCTTATAGTTGCATCAATGATATGTTTGCATTTGTGTTCCAAGGAGTATCATCACTTTTTAGAGCTGGTAGGTGGTGTAGCGGACAGAGTCAAGAATATCTGAATTCAAATTCAATCTCAGATAAAATGAGGAAAATAATAGCACTTACCTCCCAGGGTTGTTGTGAGGATCAAATGAGATAATATTTATAAAGTGCTGAGCACAGTGCCCGGCACATAGTAGGTGGTTAATCAATATAATAAATATTTGTTCCTTTCTCCTTCCCCTCCCCTATCCAAAATATGAATTCCTACTCCAACAGATAATTTTCCACCTCTACTCAAATACATTCAGTGATGGTGGTCTCATTACCCCACAAGACAACTCATTCCATTTTGGTACAGCTATTTCTGTTTTTTAAAAAAAATCTTCTTGGGGCAGCTAGGTGGTGCAGTGGATAGAGCACAGGCCCTGAAGTCAGGAGGACCTGAGTTCAAATCTGGCCTCAGACCAAACATTTCACCCTGGGCAAGTCACTTAACCCCAATTGCCTTAAAAAATAATAATCTTCTTTATATTTATAACTTATAACATTGTGTAGCTTCCATCTATGGTCCTTATCCTGCCCTAGAACTACACAAGACAAGCCTGTCTTCCCTTCCCTATGACAGCCCTTAAGATATCTCATTTTCCTTCTCATATGTGCTGGTTTTCAGATCCCTCACAACTGTGGTCACCCCCTTTTAGATTTGTTCTAGTTTGTTAAAGTCCATATTAAGATTGAACCACATGGGTGGCAAAGAATTGGAAATTGAGAGGATGCCCATCAATTGGGGAATGGCTGAACAAGTTATGGTATATAAATGTAACAGAAGACTATTGTACTATAAGAAATGATGAACAGGCTGTCTTCAGAAAAACCTGGAAAGACTTGTATGATCTGATGCTGAGTGAAGTGAGCAGAACCAGGAGAACGCTATGTAACAGTAACAGTCACGTTGTGCGATGACTGATATTGATAGACTTAACCCTTCTCAGCAATACAAGGATCTAAGATATCTCCGAAGGCCTCATGACAGAAAATGCTATCCACAAAGAAGAAAGAACTATGTAGTTTGAATGCTGATCGAAGCATACTACTTGCTATTTTTTTTCTGTTGTGTCTTGTTTCCTCTTTCTAGTGATTCCTCCTATTGGTTCTAATTCTTACTTACAACATCACTAATGTGAAAATATGTTTAATAGGAATGTATATATAAAGCCTATATCATATTATGCACCGTTTTGAGGAGGGAGGTGGGGAGATAGGGAGAGAATAATTTAAAACTCAAAAGCTTATGGAAGTGATTGCTGATAATACAAAATAAATTAATTTAAAAAATAATAAAATTAAAAAAAAAAAGATTGAACCACAGAGCTAGAAAGGGGGACAGAAAATCAAATGCCCCACAATGGAGAACAGGCAGCCTAGATGGGAAAAAATTGTCTAGTGAGGGTATGGTCTAGGACGATGGTTGCCAATGTGAAGGCCAAGGATCAGTGGAGGCCTACCCACACAGTCTCTCAATTTGACCATGTCTGAAGCTGGTGTCTGAGTGAAAATCCCACTGAGAACAGGGGAGGGAGGAGCTGTTTACGCTAGGGTACTTTACTCTCGTACTTTCAAAAATCTGTGATTTCAATCCTTCAGCCAACTCAGAAAGAAATCACTTCACCCCTTGGTAAATGACACAATGAATTTTTGTTGGACCAAAAAAACATAAAAGGACCTAAAACCTGCCACAGTATATGCTTTGCTGGCAAAGCCTTCAAGAACCCTTCTTCACCACCATGCTACAACAACATAATCAAGTTTTAATGGAGACTGGGAAAGTTTAATTTTGGTAATCCAGGCCTCAGGCAAAACATTAATTATAATATAGTAATATAATTGAATATCATTGTACCATAAGAAATGATGAAATGGACAGTTCCAGAGAAACCTGACAAGACTTGTAAGAACTAATTCAGCGTGAAATGGGCAGAACCAAGAAAAAAAGTTATGCAACAACAGTAACATTATAAGGAAAAACAACTTTGACAGATGTGAGAACTCTGACCAATGCAATAAACAATTACTATTCTAGGATCAGTGATGAAGAAGGCTACCTACCTTTCTCTTGATAGAGAAATGACAGACTCAAGATGCAAAATAAGGCATACTTTTTAAGATACAGTCAATGTGGGAATTTGTTTTCCCTTGACTGAATACCAATTAAAAGTCAAGTGAACCACAAGCATTTATTAAGAGCCTGCTATGTGCCAGGCATTATGTTAGGCTCTGGGGATAAAAAAAAAAAAGGCAAAAAACAGTCCCTGCTTTCAAAGAGCTCACAGTCTAATGGGGGAGACAACTTGCAAAAAACTATGTACAAAAAGATAGATACAGGATAAACCAGAGATGATCTCAGATGAAAAACATTAAGATTAAATAAGCCTAGGAAGGGGCAGCTAGGTGGTGCAGTAGATAGAGCTCTGGCCTTGGAGTCAGGAGGACCTGAGTTCAAATCTGACCTCAGACACATAACACCTATTAACTATGTGACCCTGGGCAAGTCACTTAACCCTGACTGCCTCACCAAAAAGCAAATATATAAATAAGCCTAGGAAAAGCTTCAGGCTTTATAGTTCTTTTCCAATGGAGACAAGGTGAGGTGGTAGAAGGGTGAAAATAAATAAGGATAAAATAGCAAAAAGAAAGAAAAAAAAGATGATCATTAAAGCATCTCTTTTTTTAATGCAGAGAAGAGAACAGAAGAAACAGAAAGAAGCAAAGACAAACAGGACATCTTTGAAAGCTTCAGATTGAATTTACCATATACTTAAAAAGCAAGTTGTACATTATTGAGAGTTTCACTTTCATGTATAATCTTCTTTTTCTGTTCTAAAATGTATATGAAAACATCCATTTTATCTGATGTTTGTCAAGTTCGGAACACACACATATACATATGTGCACATATATGTATGTAAATATATGCAAATATATGCACATGTGTACATAATGTACCTATATACATGTGTGTGTTTTAATGGGTATAGAAAAGATTTAACTTACTACTAAGGCCTGACAATGCTTGAGGCTTCAGGATTTTATTAATGGATTGCTATATAAACTAACAAAGATCCCAAAAAGCAGCTATAAGAATGACAGAGAGAGAGAGAGAGAGAAGGAGAAGAAGGAGGAGGAGGAAGAGGAGGAGGGAAAGGTGGAGGAGGAGGGGAAGGTGGAGGGGGAGGAGAAGGAAGAGGAGAAGGAGAGAGGAAAGGTAAAGAGAGACAGAGAGAGTGTCAGGGACCAGGCCATGTGGGCAGTTTAGCCATGGTCAAGTGACCTCTCTAGGCCTTAGTTTCATCTCTTGTAAAATTCAAGGTTGAACTAGATGGTGTCTGAAGTTCCTTCCCACTCTAAATCTTAAGGTCATCAGGTTTAAGCCAAGTAATATGGCAGGGCCTCTGAGTGAACAGGATAAGGTTAATTAACACTCTGGAGTTCAATAAGGCCATCTTGGTATGAGAGATCCAAGGCCCAGAAAGCCCAGTTCCTGTACCTAAGGAAAAAGGGAGCTTTGTTTTTGCATTTATTTTCTGGGTGCTCTACACAAAGTGGATATTTGAGTTGTTTTGTCAGTTTAAAATCCATTATCCTTTTTCCC